TTACTTGGATTTTGCCTTTGAACTCGTCCCTGAAACCTCATCTGTTTTTGCCCTGTCTAGGAAATTCTCAGATCACCTCCACACCCTCTCCGCCAGTGACCCCAGAACCCTCAGGACCACGTCCCATCCTCCTCAATGGCACCTGACCCATCTCCTCTCTGCTGCCTCACCCACCTCGCTCATCAGGACCCCATCCCTTGCTCACCTCGGCTCACCACCATCCCCTTTGTTCTTAGGAACTAGACTCTCGACTATTATCTGCTGTCATCAACTCACTGGACTTCCCAGTGCATTTTCTGTTCCCATTTGTAATGAAGAGACTTTATTTTTACTCACCTCTGCAGTCATGTTGATTCTGCATGTCTTGGGTTAGACGCCTCCCACAAGTCATGACAAGGTACAGCTAATGACGTCCTTGTTGGAAAAAGGGTAATCAAGATTGAAAACAGGAGGAAAGACTTGAGTGATGGTGGCAGAGGAGTTAAGTGTCCATCACGTAATCAGATGTTTGTAGGTTTGAGCCCTGATCAGTCTGTTGCTGTTGTGTCCTTGGGCAAGACACTTAACTCTTATTGCCTACTGGTGGTGGTCAGAGAGATCTATGGTGCCTGTGCTTGGCATTCTTGCTTCTATCAGTAGCATTGTACCTCATCACCACAAGGGTGTGAATGTATGTGCATACAATGACTGATCGTCTTGTAAAGCGCCTTGGGGGTTTCTAAGAGCAGGTGCTACACCAAATACAGGCCATATACAACGAAAAACAAGAAGAGTTTTGGAGCAGTCATGCTCCAGAATGTAAAAGGAATATCCACACGTGCACAATTCTTTGACCCAACACAAGAGGAACAGTCAGTGGTGTGAGCATGCAAGTCCACTGCATGAACCTGACTAAGGTGTAGAAACACAGACTTCACCGGGCCTGTAACAAAGGGTGGATTTCTCTTCAGCTCTCACTGCAGACTTAGGGTAGCAAATGATGAAAAACAACCTGCAGTGCTTCAAATTTGTACCCTGTGTAAGGAATGATACATGTGATCCAAAATGGGTTTCCTTCATTTCAAAATCAACCTGAACTCTAAAATATGAACAGTTTACTTCACTGAAGCTAAAGTTAAAGGTTTTTGACACATTTGTGTATTTATTATAAGAATTTTAGCAAATTACTGCTTACTGCTTGTAGTTCACTTGGTTCATACACACACAAACACACACACATGCACGCATGCACACATTCTCAACATATGACCTCAGGTTATGGTTCTGAACATCTGTAACAAAATTTGTTTAAATTCATCAGTTTGTGAATACAAACATATGGACCCTGTAACTTTTTGTATTGATAAACTGTCAATGAAATATGAAAGGTATTCAACAAGATGTAATGTTCCATAAATATATGGATCATTAATATTATTGAGCCTTTAATATCCGATTGACACTGGAAACAGGTTATTTGGGTATGCCAGGGAATCAACACTTATCAATAATTTGACAGAGAAGCAAATATATAGTTTATAAAAATCAATTTATTACTCCATTTCTACAACTAATGATAAGACAAAATAACTGTAGATAAATGATTATTCAAGGTAGAATCAACTAAGACAGTAACCAACTCTGATGAAACATGACCTTGGATGTTATTAAGAGTCTAATAAGTGTCTTAGAAAAGAGAGTGGTGCCTGGTATAATAAGAATAATCTGGCTGAATTTAGTGATGTTAAATGAATCATAACCCATCCAACACCAGTGCGCAGAGCTATGATACCCATGCGAGGGGAGTTCTCCGCAACCCAGCTTGCCACAAAGGGTGCTTCTCAATGTCAAGGCACCTGGCCTTCCGAGGCGATGTCTTGCGAGGAAAGGTACCTTGCTTACGAGGAAACTGTCCTTCCTTGGTGTCATGGTCTGCGTCTGCCCCCTCCTTTTTGTGCCTCCTGGTGTCCTCCATCCCTCTCTAGATTACCTTTTGTGTCTCATAGCGCCCTCATGTGTCCTTGTCTTCGTCTCAGTCTTGTGTCTTATGTGGTAGCCGGTAAAATTATTCCTCCCAGGTCCCGTGTCATCTCATTCCTCCCCAGCCCCTCCAGGTCTTCATTTTCTGTGTCCTAGTAGCCCCCAGTCTCTCAGTCCCCTGCTCAGTGTGGTGTGTGTGTGTGTGTGTGTGTGTGTGTGTGTGTGTGTGTGTGTGTGTGTGTGTGTGTGTGGGTGGGTGGGTGGGTGTCTTGCTCCAGTTCTGTATGTGTGTGTGTGTGTGTGTGTGTGTGTGTGTGTGTGTGTGTGTGTGTGTGTGTGTGTGTGTGTGTGTGTGTGCTTGGTCATTTCCCAGTTCTGTTTATAGGTGTCAGAGTTTTTGTGTCTGTGTGTGTGTGTGTGTGTGCTTGTCCATTCCTGTTTATTTTAGTCATTTGTGTGTGTGATGGTGTGTGTGTGTGCGTGTGTGTGTGTGTTAGTCCTTCCCGCAGTTTTTAGGGTTAGTTTTGTGTTTTAGAGTTTTTTAAGTTTATTTGGCCATCCTCTGTTTCTGTTAGCCCATTTTGATTATTAGGTTCACCTGTCTTCCCTCCAGCTCTCACTTCACACACCTGCTGCCATTTTCCCTAATCACTTCTCCCTGTGTATAGAAGCTCTGTCTTGTCTGTGTCTGGTGTCGGTTCATTGTTGTATGTTGTCAGCTTTGCTCGTGCTCTGTATGAGCTTTGCCTTCAGGTCTTCGTGCTCGTTGTTGAGCTTTTTTGTCTCCAGGTTTTTGTGCTCTAAGTAGAGCTTTGGGTGTTCCTGTCCCCCAGGACTTTTTGGACTTGGCTCGCTGCCTTGGATTACTTTTTGTTCTTTATCCTAAAAATAAAAGGATTTTTACTTTGAATCTCCTTCTGCCTTTTGTCATCTGGGTATCTGCATTTTTGGGTCCTAAACATCCTCTCAACCTGACACTTGGTCAAAGAAAATGGTTAAATGGAACAGACTTGCATCATGTAACCGCGGCTTCCACGGCGGTCACGTAATGTCACGTGACACAGGAGATAACGTTATATTTTATACATATTAGTTTCAATATAAATATACAACAAGCCTTTTACTTTTTAAATTGTGTATGTATTTGTAAAATTTAATATGTAAGTGAGTTACTACCCGCTAGCCACCAAAGCTGCAACTAATAAGCAACTAACCAACAATAGATAACTTCTTTGGATCTTAAAAAAATAACATTTTAAATTAGTTGGCTTACTTTTAAACTTGAAATTTGCCCCCGAAGTAACTGTCGGCTTCTGATCCGCCGTCCTTCTGAAAATACTGTGGTTTATCCTGGGACATTTTTGACCAAGGCTAGGCTATGATAAACCTCCGGTGTATCCTCGCTCAGCTAGCTAAACAGCTAACAAACGGAGAACACACGCCTCAGTAGAACATGAACATTGGAACACGTCTTGGCGGCTCCTGATGACATATCTCCTAGGCAACCGAGGCGGGGCCAAGACATCAAGGTGAGGTTCCTTGGCATTGAGAAAGACCCAAAGACTTCTCAGCAAATGAGTTGTTTGACTTCTGGGTTAGCTTCCTCTGAATTCGCACTGCTGGTCAAGAAATACCCTGAGTGACTGCGGGCGGGTGATGGAGTCGTTTTCAGGTTCAAACAAATAAAACATTTTTTTACTTCTGAAAAAGGGTGTTTGTATGCCGCTAAAAAGTATTCTATTGTGAGATAATAGGTGCTCATTCAGCATTTTGGCAAGAACTGGGTAATAGAAGGGTTTGTTGAAGCTGGACCAATCAATGGCCAGAAAATGTGTGAGGTGTTAACAAAGTCCCTTGACGTCACATCTTTGTAAGAGGCTTATTAGAAAACATTTCTCTTACTATATGAGATCTAAATACGATATCGCTGTTAATATGCTGAAATTATATGTGACATGACTGATAATAAAATCATCATTAAATCATCAAGCAGATTTGTTTTGTGTATTTGAGATCTGAAATGTTGCATTTCAACAATAAACAGTTATTTTGATTCATCGTTACTGTATAGCAATCAAGTCTTATTAACTCAATGGTCAACTTTCCAGTGGGAGGATTGAATTCACTTCATTGGTCTATGATTGTAATAATCTGTAAATTGAGAAAAATGATGGCATAAAACAGACTGTGAGCCTTTTATTAAAGTTAGAGAAAAGTCTTCTTTCCTGGAGTCTTGTGACTGCAGGATAGATAAGGTAGCCGAAGGGCATTTTCGTTATGACGGCTCCCAGATAGCGAGGTCATAAACAGTGCCTGTGTACTGATTTGGAAACCAGATAGTTGACCTTCAGCACACTGATGAAGCTGGCTGTAGACAAGTGTCAACCTTTGTATTCCATGGCTTTCTTACGCTACAACCCTACAGCGCCCCCTATCATTAAAGCTGTAAAAGACTCATTACACATGGACAACATCTCTCCCATAGCTTCTGGTTGTATTTTCTTCTGTAGCTTTATATTTCTACAACACATTGTAAAGTTTAATAGGGATTTTTTTCTATAACCTTTGCGCAGTCATGATAATGAAGAAAACTGGACCGAAAGGCTTCTCCAGTGCTGAGCCAACAATATGCTGGAATATTTACAACATTTATGATTGTTTTATGTTATGTAGACATAAAACAATCATTGTAAAAGTCTGCGTTTTAGTTTCTATTACTCATCAGCTGAGTTATTGTGTTTGTCTAATAAAAGTAACTCATTTGAATTCCCAATCACACGTAGCTATGTGAAACTGAAACTCAGGATTTTTAATAAAACATCAGATGAAAAAAATGTTCAATGAATGTCACTTTCAACAGTAACATATATTAATTAATTATTAGATAGTTTTATGTCGAATATAAAAACTATTCAAATTTTGTTCCACATCAAGTGAGACATGAATAAGAGGCTGGATATTATGGCAGTAAAAAGGAAACACGTCATGCAATGACAAAGAACTTTCACTTTCACTTCTATTGTACCAGTGTGAGAAGATAGAAGAAACCTCGGCAGGTGAGTAAAATCTCGGATTAAACCAAATCATTTTAAATTAAACCACTCTGTTCTGTCAGACTAAACCCTTTATCTATAATTATCAGGTTTTCCTGTGAAACATTTTTCACATCCATCTGTGGTTTAACTAAAGACACATTTATTTTTTCAGTTGACTCAAAACAGTTTTTGATGTGTTTATTATAAAATGAAAAGATGTTTTTATCACTTGAAGCTTGTGTTGAATGCAAGTAAAACTAAACTGGTCCTCTTCTCAAATAATAGGAACTCAGCTATCCCCCAAACATTATTACCCTACAGGGAAATCTAATAGAGCGTGTAGCTGAGTACAGGTACTTGGGGTTTGTACTTGATGAACATCTGACCTTTAAGATTCAAATCCAAAGTTTAGTCAGGAAACTTGGGTTAAAACTAGGGTTACATTTTAGGAATAAGGCTTGTTTCCCTCTTGCAGCAAGGAAGAAGCTGGTTGAGGCCACTTTTCTGTCCCTCGTGGACTATGGTGATTTTTATATATGCATGCTCCTAACAAATATCTGCTTCAATTACATTCAGTTTATCATGAAGCACTGAGATGTATTACAGGGTGCAACGGTCATACACATTGTTGCACTCTGTATAATCTAGTCCAGTGGCCCTCATTAGCTCAGCGTAGGCTAACCAGGTGGCGACTATATAAAGCCATGATCGGGATGTTGCCTCCTTATTTATGTAGGCTTCTGTCTTTCAAAACCAGCACTCGCTTACTTCGGTCCAATGCCAATCTACAGCTGGCTGTGCCTAGAGCTCGTACAGAATCAGGTAAGCAAGCATTTAGGATCTCTGCTCCATCAGCCCGGAACCAGCTACAGAATCACTTCAAACTAGAAAACCCGGTCTCTTTTGGTCAATTTAAGCAGCTAGTAAAGGAACAAGAAGCAGGCACATTCGGCCCCTGTCCCTGCTTCCGAAGATGGGATAACCCTATGGTGGATGTCAAGACAAAAACTTCCATTCCCTAATGTTGATTGAATCACTGTAATATTAATGCATCATGTTTGGTATGTCTCTCCCATTGTATTTGTGTGTATGCTGGTGCGTATGTTTGTGTACATGTACACATACATGTGTGCGCATGTGCATGTGTTATTTACTAATTTTGGTTGAACTCCTGTAATGTTAACATTTTATGTTTTTACTTTCATTGTTTTAACTAACTATTTTTACATGGAATTTTTATGGCAGCCTTCTTGGCCAGGGCACATTTGTAAAAGAGACTTGTTCTCAAAGGATTTCCCTGGTTAAATAAGGGTTAAATAAATAAAATAAAAACTTGTTTAAAACTCTGTTTTGGAGACACAAGGTTTTCACCCAACAGCACTAAAATCTGATTTTCATATTCTATATATTTATAAAAAGAAAAAAGACTGTTATACAAATTGTTCATTACATCACAGTTCTGTTGTTTAATTATATAGCACCAAATCACACCAAGTCGTCTCAAGGCACTTCACAAAGTATAACATTCCAATTGAGTTCAGTTCATTAAGCCATCCATCCATTATCTGAGCCCTCCTGGTCCATGCAGGGTTGCGGGGGGGCTGGTGCCTATCTCCAGCAGTCAACGAGCATGCAGGCGGGGTACACCCTGGACAGGTTGCCAGTCATTGCAGGGCAACACAGAGACACACAGGACAAACAACCAAGCACTCACACACTCACACCTAAGGAAAATTTAGACAGACCAGTTAACCCGACAGTCATGTTTTTAATAATAATAATAATGCATTGAACTTATATAGCGCTTTTCTAGACACCCAAAGACACTTTCACACACTCTCACATTCACACACTGCTAGTGATGGTAAGCTACTTGTGGCCACAGCCGCCCTGGGGAGGTCTGACAGAGGCGAGGCTGCCATTTGGCGCCATCGGCCCCTCTGACCACCACTAACACAGGCAAGTTGGGTGAAGTGTCTTGCCCAAGAACACAACAGCAGGATACCCCTGGCGGGAGCTGGAATCGAACCCATGACCCTCTGATCATGAGGCAACCCGCTCTACCATCTGAGCTACTGCTGCCCAAACTGTGGACTGTGGGAGGAAGCCATAGTACCTGGAGAGAACCCACGTATGCACAGGAATAACATGCAAACTCCTTGCAGAAAGACCCCAGGCCGGGAACGTAAACCCAGGATCTTGTTGCAAGGAAACAGCGCTAACCGCTGCACCACTGTGCAGCCCAGTTCATTAAGCCACTTAGTTAAAAGTGCCCGATATAAGGAACCCAGCAGAGTGCATCAAGTCACTGTCATCGTGTCAGTAACTTTACAGCAATCCTCATTCTAACCCCCAAATTCCACTACCTCCGCTCCGCTCCGGTCCGCCCCCGCCTTCCGCAGCCGCTCGCTTCCGAACTCAATTTTTACTGGTACCCGCTCTACAACGGCTCCGCTCCGGTGCGGAGACCTGAGGGGGCAAACAAGCATGCGCGGGATTTTCGAGATCTTGCGATACAGTCCGAGCAATAAACGCGGAAGTTAGATCCAAACACCCGTTGTGTGGGAGAAGCATCGAAATGAACTGTTTAATCTGCCCATCATTTGTGTTGAGAGATCAGCAGTGTTTGGATCAACAAAGTGTGTCTACTTTGATAGTGGAAACTGTATTTATGGCTTACTTTTGTGCATTTAAACTTCAGCCGCCATTGATAGTTGTTAAAAATTGTTAAACCTGTGCATATGAAACAAAAAACGCCTTTTGTTTATCGATTTATTGTGAAAAACGGAAATTGTGCTTGCTCCTTTTCCTGTTGGGCCGTTGTGATTTCTGTCCATTTACTGCGGAGGTGCTCCGGTGTCCGGCGAAAATAGGATCGATTCTATTTTTGCCGGACGTCGGAACAGAGGGCGGCGCACGGCGCCGCACTGCCGGAGCACGGCCGCAGTAGTGGAATTGCTCTGATTGACTACAACGGGACCGATTTTGCTCCGGCGTTCGTGTCGGAGCGGAGTGGAGGTAGTGGAATTTGGAGGTAAGCAAGCTTGTAGCGACAGTGGAGAGGAAAACTCCTCTTTAACAGGAAGAAACCTCCAACAGAACTGGGCTCTGTATAGGTGGTCATCCACTACCACTCACTGGGTGGTTTGAGAAGACAAAGCAGACACACACACATAAAATTGTTCATAGACTTGGCAGTCCAGTTGGAGTATTCTCTCTTTCTTTTGATCTCTTATAATAATGAAACAGTTTTCTTCCCCATTCTTCACAATCTGTTATTTGTCTATGATAAAGACCCTACCTGCACATGACAAAGTCTCTAGAAAGACAGGATGAGCCAGATCAGCTGATTAGTGACTCATTTCTGGTATTTGAAACAAATCCTTAATAAATATATGACACCGTTGCACTCTCCCACGGAGTCACCTCACAAAAAGCCTCTCCCTGTCTTCCAATACAGCTCCACCCATCTCAATCCTTAGAGGAGGCTCACTAACTATTCGGGAAACAAAAGGCTCCAGGAACCAGGCTGTGTGTCCCCCTCTACCTTGAGATGCTGTACAGATGAGCTGGCTCCAGTGTTTACAGACATTTTCAACACCTCTAGATTCATGTAATGTGCCAACCTGTGAAAATGTAGAGCAGCCAGAAGGTCTTCAAGTTGAAAGAAGTAGAGGCAAACTGCAGCACAGGGACATTTTTCCAGAGAGCCAAGATGCTTCTCCTGCATTTATTTCACCACTTTCCTTTTACAGATCACCAAATAACAAAATAAATAAATAAATAAATAAAATAAACTCCCCAAGCCTCCACCTGGCTTTCTTTAAATACCCCAGCAAATCACACCTGCAAACAATCCACCCTAAACAGTGCTCCAACATTAAATCCAGAGGTAAATAAACATCCACATAAAGGTACCTGAATGTTAACATAAACAAAAGACAAACTGTTTTTACAATACAAAAAACATTTTCACACTAAGACACATGTCAGTTAAAATATCCCCCATCACAGTGCCAGCAGACTGCAGAAATAAATTACAGGGAGGAATGGGAAATCATCCCTACCACTTCGTCACACAACCTACTCCAAATCCTCCATCATAGTCCCAGTCCCAAAGGAACCAAGGATCACCAGACTAAATTACTACAGACCTGTGGCCCTAACATCAGTAATCATGAGGTCATTTGAGTGCCTGGTTCTGTCACACCTCAAAGACATCACAGCTCTCTAGACTCCCTGCAGTTTGTCTACAGAGCCAACTGTTCTGTAGATGATGCAATCAACCTAGCTCTTCACTTCATCCTACAACACCTGGACTCCCCGGAAATCTTTGCTAAGATCCTGTTTGTGAATTTCAGCTCCACATTCAACACAGTCTGCACATCTCTCCTTCAGGATAAGCTGTCTCTGCTGAAAGTGCCAGACACCACCTGCTGGTGGTTCACCGACTTCCTGACAGATCGGAGACAACACGTGAGGTTGGGAAGGAATGTCTCTGACACTCAGACCACTAACATCCTAAGACTCCACTCTCCTCTGCTTTTCCCCCTATACACTGCTGGACCCCCCCAGCCACCAGTATGTAAAACTGGTCAAGTTTGCAGATGTCACCACCCTCATTGGCGTCATCTCAGATGGGGACAAGACTGCCTGGAGCGAGGTAGAACGTCTGGTGCAGCAACAACAACCTGGAGCTGAATGCACAGAAGACAGTAGAGATGTCTCAGCTGAGTTCATATTCTGTGCCCTGGTGATTTCAACTCATTGCTGCTGGAGCGCCGCGCATCTGAAGATCCCTTTGGCTGATCGTTAGAAAGTAGGAAGTCTAGGAAACAGTTTTTTCTGGAAGACGGAGAAAACATGCAGCATGCAGGAAGGTTAGAGAGAGAAAGGGCAGGAAATTATTCAAATAAAATCAAGAAAAAAAGAAAAAAGTTGGTAGATTTATCCCCAATACACATTTTTACCAGTGAAAAGCAATAATATATACACATTTAATATTTATACATGTGATAGAATCAGATCACGGCCCAGAAGTCAGTCCCACATCCAGGGTGTCACGATACGGTGGTGTGTAGTGATGTTACCTGTGACACGCAGGATTCGAAGCTTGTATCACCAAAACGAACCACAGCAGAGCAAAGCACTGTGACGGAGCTTGATTTGTTTACTGAAAGTCACATGACCAATGAGCAACGATGCTTCGATTCACCCTTCCACCCACGTGACCGCTTTACACGTTGTTTCAAACATTAAAGCAACCAGGGCCGGCTTTGACGACAGGCGACACAGGCGGCCGCCTGGGGCGCCATCTGATGGATAGGGCGCAAAATAAAAAAAAATAAAAAAAAAGTTTATTACATTTATGTTTGTAATATGAAATGCACTCTCTACATACTCAAAATTCCCCTTTGAAATGACATGAAATTAAAACATCAATATTTATATTCAAATGATCTGGCTGCATGACGAGCTCCCGCTTGGACCACCGCTCCAATGCATTTGACCGTTAAGGGTGCCGTAGATCACGTGTGTGGGTAGCACTGTAGAAGGACATCCTGTTGTCGTCGCGTTTAAACTTTTGATATTTTACGATGAAAAGAACACCTAAGCCATCGGGATCAGCATTCCGAAAGCGAAGGAAGGAGGAAGAAAAAAAAACAGGCCCAAAGCAGAGGTATGTAGACTTTATAAATTTGGCAAAGGAACTTAATTTTAGCTAACTGCCTCTCCTGCCACGTGCGGTCCACGGACGGACCCTCGCTAGCTGTTTACATACACAATACAGTATCTGTAACTTTAACCAATTAATTTTACTTTTGAATCGTCGTGTCCAGATGCAGTGAGACAATGTCTGCAGCCACGACAGGCACCTGTTGACACCACGGGGGGCGGGACTGTCTTCTACACCTGTTGAGTCACTGTGAAGACGAAGAATGTAAGATTTTTTTGTTACCGTTTTTTGGATTATGATTGCAGCCTTTTTATGAACTTCCATTCAAGTTGTAAGTACGCATACAATACGAATTTAATATTTTCATATCAGAAGAACGTCAGTGTGTGTAGCAAAATTTCAACTTTGTCAGACACATCGGGCGTGCGGCACCGCCGTGGCCGTGGCAGGGACACCCCGCTGCCGCCGTCCCGCGTCGGCGTTTCCTTGTTTAATAAATGAAATCCTCAGAGTGCCTCAGATCACCGGTTCTTCTTCCTCATATTCTACAATTTATTTGATGCTGAAGAGCACCTGAGAGTGAGACATAAGTTTTTTCAACTATTCCCCATGGATGCGCTCACTTCCACCTGTTTTTGATAATTTTATTCATGTTTTCATAGAACAGATTAAAAAAGATCAATAAAATAAAAAGTCCAGAAACATTAAAAATAATGAAAAACATCACTGCACATGACTGAGGAATATTGAATGTGAAAGTGGCACTGTTCTTAAGTAATTCATGCATCAGAGGGTTAAGTTGATTTGTGTGTGTGTGTGTGTGTGTGTGTGTGCGTGTGTGTGTGTGTGTGTGTGTGTGTGTGTGTGTGTGTGTGTGTGTGTGTGTGTGTGTGTGTGTGTGTGTGTGTGTGTGTGTGTTATTTTCTCACAGAAGAAGAACCCAACACCAGCAGGTTCTCCAATCCAACAGCCTGAAGTGATACCATCATCAGCTTCAACAGATGTCTGTGAACATGTACGAGCTGCTGGCCCCATGGATCCTGCTGACTGGCCACAACAGTTGAACAAAATGGGAAGTAGAACTTTCTTTATGATGACACTGATATTTGAGTTTTGCTTTTGATTGCACAGTTTAATGCTACTGTTGATTTTGCACCCCCCCCCCCCCCCCCCAATGACATTTGCACAACATTTTTAGTTGTTGGTTATTGCAATATTCTCAGGTTACTTATCTTTCAAGCTTACATTTATTCTTCAGGCTGTTGACTTTAAAGAGTTGCTGTGTGAATATTTAAAATAAAAATTTAGTAACTAAGGAATCACTGTGGAGTTGCTTTTTCCAATGTGTCGTGGATGGGTGGACTTGGGTTTGGGTGAGAGGCGTGCGGGCAGGGGGGGGGGGGGCAAATGGGCAGTCTCGCCTTGGGCACCAAATTACCTAGAGCCGGCCCTGAAAGCAACGCAAACCGAGAGGCGCAGGATTACGGCAAGCCAAATGAGCATTTATTCTGATATCAGGATATCAGCCAGAATTGTCATGAACGTGTAAGCCATTTCTGTCCACTAGTTAACTAGTTAGCCATGTTTGTGTCAACTAGTTAAATAGTGACAGCCTAAATGTCAACTAGTAAGGCCTAAATTCTCTCTAGTTAACTAGTTAAAATGTTTCATATCTTACTAGTTAACTAGTATTGCTCAGTGTGCTCACTAGTTAACTAGTGCACATGTATGTCTACCATAAGTTAACTAGTGTGCACATTTTGACCCTCACTAGTTAACTAGTGAGACAAATACCTTCAAGTAGCTGACTGGTATGCATTTCTGCTTTTACTAGTTAACTAGTGAGCAGTTTTTGTGTCAACTAGTTAACCACTGAAGCATAAATGTGTTCACTATTTAACTAGTGCGCATTTCTGCTGTCACTAGTTAACTAGTGGGCACATTTTCACCCTCGGTATTTAACTAGTTGACACAAACATGGCTAACTAGTTAACTAGTGGACAGAAATGGCTTACATGTTCATGACAATTCTGGCTGATATCCTGATATCAGAATAAATGCTCATTTGGCTTGCCATACATTTGTATGACCTGAGTTTGACGGTTCAGGATTCAGTATTCAGTGATTAAACACCGAGTCGCAAAAATGGATCCTGTGGCAAAAAGAGGGCGTTCTGAGGTGTGGGAATGTTTCAATTTAATCTCTCCAAATAAGGATGGAAAATGTATTTGGTCTAGTCTAGTAAATTACCTTTGTAAATACTTTTTCTGGGTGTAGTACATGCAAAAAAAAAATTTAAGTTATTTTTCTCGGAAAATTTAATTTAATTTTTTTTTTAGCATTTTAAACGTTTTCCATACTCAAAAACTTCTACAATTTTCCCAACTCAATATTTTTGGGAACAATTTTGATTAGGTTGGACTTCAGCGTAAATATGAGTATGTAAAACTCAGTTATTGGCTTAGATGGAAGATAAATGCCAGAACTCGCCCATTTATCCTGCAACGGAAGAAGAAGGCACAAGGCACTGACTGTTAAGCGGGACGGTCCATTTTGGAAGAGCGTGCATGCGCAGCCGAACTTGTGGATAAAGCTTTTCAAAAACTTGTAAGTAACTATTTTGACTATTTTAAGTTAATGTGTAGTCAAAATGTCACATCTAAACGATTTATATGATTGTTTTTAACTGCTCAGGCTGCTCTTAGCTAGCAATGTGTACTAATTGTCGGCCTGTTAGTTCACCATGTGGTCCGCTTTGTTACTATCAAACATCACTTTTGTGTTTATTTCAGAAACCATCATTTTCGGTAGGCTGTCACTCTTATATAGTTAATTAATGTACTGTTTTGTGGGCACTTCTTAATGTTTATGAATTCTTACAGAGCAGATATATAGCTTTAATTGTGCTTGCCTGCCTCACAGAGCTGCTTGCAAGTGCATTTTGAACTGCTAGTTATCATAACTAGCCGAAATTTGAACCGACAAATGGCGCATCGGCCATCAGCTTGTGAAAACCGCGGGGGGATTTTTTACGTTTTGGTCCGCTTATCTCCATTTTATTTATTGCTGGGGCTGTATTTTCAAATTATATGCTGCTCTTCCTGTTTCTCGTCTATGCCGTTAATTTTCTGTCCTTCACACCCGCTCGTGTGTGAGTGAGAAACGGAGAAAAAAAATGGAGAGACGAGAGGCGATTGATCTGCTGGTGTGGTGTCGAAAATATGGAGAAACTCTTGTTTGAAACTCGGTACGCCGCCTCTGTAACGTCTGCGTCTGCCACACTCGATGGATTACGCCACCGTCACGTTTGCTCTTTGTAGGTCGACTCGTCTGACTTTTCTTTTTTGTTTTAACTACAATAAATGTCTGTTTTTAGTTATCACTCCCATAAGATTGCTTCTGACTGCAAAAAAGTGTTTAAACACCGCGTGGGCCATTTAATGGCAGATAAAATCCTTAAGTAAAGATGGAATGAAAATAAATAGCAAAATTAAAATATCAATCAATTTATGGCACAACTACAGTGCACAACACCTGATTCTGATGAATTATAAACAAGAAAATGTTAATAGACATCTTCATTTAAAATTCACGAGGTAATTCACAACAAGTGTTGTTTTTTATTCACGTGTCACTGTTTTGCTTGCCTATATTAAAATAATTCAGTGTAATTAAATCATATTAAGGGGTTTATGCCATCAGTTTGGCCAATATATAACATTTAAACCATAATACTCTTTTTTTTCTTTTCTTTTTTAACAAACTCTGAAGGTGATGTACTTAAAGATATAAGTGACTCAGTTCTGAGCGACAGGCGTGCTTGACCATGAGTTACAGAGACAACATGCTTATCGTGGGCATGTGAAAAAAAGTTTTAATGCTACATATTGGCCAAACTGAAGCAATAAACCCCTAAAATGACTGAATTACACTGAATTATTTTAACTGAGGCAATTAAAACAGTGAAATGTGAATTTAAACACGTTAACACTTGTTAAACTTGGTGAATTACCTCACAAATTTTAAATTAGGATGACTTTCTTGTTGATGCCATCAGAATTAAGTATAGTGCACTGTAGTTGAGCCACGGAGTGATTTATAATACATTTAGGCAACTTTTCATGCAATCTTTAAAGATTCTATCTGCCTTAAAATGATTTCCATGGTGTTTAATTATTTTTTGCTCTTTTAAGCAGGTTTATGGAGAGTGGCAACTACTAAAAATTAACATTTAATGTTATTTTGTGGGAAAGCACATGCTTTTCTCTTTTTCAGCAGTTGGCAGCAGATGGCAAACTTTCTCCTTAACTCATTCACTGCCATTGACGAATAAAGTCGTTATTTTAGATCCAACCGTTAACTGCCAATGACATGTTTTTACTGTTTGGGCATCGGAACGAGCCCACACGCTGAGAGAACAAACATCTGAGCTCTACGTCACACTTTACATGATCAGGAAGCAGAACGTCCATGTGTTAGGAGATTGTTTTGGGCCGTTCCTGGAAAAAAACTGAGGCGCGAACCGGAAAAGCGTCTGCAGATCACAGTTCGGCAATGGATTATGAAAGAACGGATAACACTCGAAACACGCGGATTCTTCCGATGTAAGAGGTGAGTCTCCTTTTTGTTTTGGTTGTTTTGGCGTCGACATCATCCTAGAGCGCAACGTTCTGTGACTCATAAAAAAACAGTAAAAACGGTGAGAAAGGCTGGCAGTGAAGGGCTTTACCGATCAGGTAATGGCTGGCAGCGAATGAGTCAATATCATTCAACAATTAATACATTTTTTCTTTATTTTTTCTTTAGAAGAACATCAGATCTGCGTAATTGAGGCAATTCCACAAAAAGTTGTCTTCTTTGAAGATCACATTAGGTAAGTTAAGGTCAAATATTTTAGTTTCACTAAATATATAAGTCAGTTAACATTCTGTTCTTTCTTTCAGTAACAGCTAGGGTTATTTTGAAGTGAAGGTGTATGACATTTGTAAAGTTTTAAGTATCAGGCGTGACATTAAAAGCAAACGCTTTGATGCTCCACCTGAGAATAAATCTGTAAGGCTTGTCACCAGCATTCAGACATCAATTCTGCTTGCTTCACAGCCAGACAGGACACGGTAAAAAAAAAAAAGCGCTTCCTTGGCTAAAAGCTGTTTTCTCATATTTATATACGCTCCAATAAATGCATTAAATGTAAGGCTGCTTGATTAAGTGAAATCTAATCTCTATTACAATTTGGATTTGAAATAAACAAAACGCAGGCCGTTCGCCTCCTTGTGTCTCACGTCAGAGCGGTGGGGGAGGGGCGGATATTTCGTGGCCGTGGCAGTGGAGTTTTAGGCATGGTGCAGCGCCATGCCTGAGCCTATGTAGGGGAAACACTAGGAAAGTGAGTGATGTGCGCATGTACAGCATGATCACGTTACATCGACTGATCAATCATAAACTTTCCTTGGTGGAGCTAACTCACGCACCAGACCATCTGTTTTACAAGCAAAATAATTTCAAGATGGAGTGAGCCATATTTAATGTGGATTTGTGTTTGATCAGGGCTGCAAACTCCCATGCAATGAATGTGAGACATGTGTTTGACTATTTTCATGTCCCCTCCCACCATACCTCCAAATTATCTTGCTGGATAAAATAAGTTACTCTATCTGAGCTAAATTAAAGCTTCTTTCCGGAGTATTTCTCTTATCTGATGGCACCATCTAGTGGCTGGCAAGCATATCACACTGAAAATGTGTTGCTTTGTTTGTTAAAGATCACTACTTCGCGTATCTGTTTGTTTATGTGCTTCTGTAGCCAAAAACACACACACATATATTTGAATGTCTGTTTGAATGACTTTCATTACTACAGGCTGAGATAGGAAACAAGGATTTACCTCCAAGTTTTAAACATTTAATTATGTTTAAATTTAATAACTTCTCAAATTCTGTGACTTTTCTGACTTGTTTGCCCAAGAAAAATAAAGTTAAAGAGATTGAGTCATAAAGGGCAACAATCAGCCCCAAATTATTTGGTAAAAAAAACAACGCAAATAGATAAATAAACGAATTGTAAATGTTACCGGTGTGACTGTAGTGTTTTCACATCTGTTTTCTCTCCGGTTTGTTCCAGTTTACCACCTACTCGGAAATTTTAACTTCAGAATACAAATAGTAGATGTGACAAAAACATGTTTATTTTACAAGATAAACTTTAAGGGTGCATCTAAAATCAACGTTAAGTACAATTATTTTCCGAGGTACATGGAACGCACCATGACGTCCATCCTCCACACAGCATAGACATAAGTGTAGACGCCGCACCAACCACTGCTGCATATGTTTGGCAGAATTTGCGGGTTCTAATTTTTATAAATTCTATGTAACAGGATGTTTTAGCTAGTCTTTAGCTCCGGAGATACTCCGTGGAGATCTGGAGCTAGAACGGCAAAAGAACGTGTTAATAAACCCGTTCACGCACTCCAGAACGAACACACTCACTTTTACGTTCGTCAGGCAAAACACAAACGAGTTCAGCTTTCATTCATGAAAAAGACGAACAAATTCACAAACCGTCGTTCAATGAAAGCGTTTGGGCACAACACTGATGAGTAGTATTAGTATATGTGTGTTATCAACTTTCAAAATATTGTAAAATAATCTAGATCTCAATTTCAGTCATAATAATCGTGATAACAGTTTTTAGCATAATCAAGCAGCTATAACTATATGTATTTATTGTGGGCAAGTAACAACTTAAAAGTACCTTTATAAAGCACTACTTCAAATAAACCAAACTACTGTTCCCAAAAAAGACTTTTATGAGTTTAAAAAAAACCTAAATACCTATGCTATCTCTCTGTGTATATGTAGCTTTATTAACTTGCACAACGATAAGCGATGCTTTTCTTTTTATTACAGATGGGATGGCCCTGTAAATTGTGCACCAAGGTTTTACCAGTAAAGACTGATATTTTAAAGCATTATAGACTGCATCATGGAACCTATGGACACAGTTGTGCCTTGCCCTGTATTCATGTAGAATGCCCATGCTCTTTTAAAAACTGGAGTTCCCTTCGTTCTCACTTATCAAGATCCCATCAAGCAGTTCATTCCCTCAAGTCACAAGTAGATGTTTCTTACACCTGCATATTATGTCAAAAACAAGGATTCCCAAGTGAAAAAGACTTTTTTGAACACCTAGGTCATCATCTGAAGAATAACGAGACTGTAAAGTGTGTCTTCACAGGGTGTAATCACCAAACCAATATTTATGGGACTTTTGCAACACACAAACACAGAAAACATACTCCACATTCCTTAAAGGATTTCAAACCTGGCATTATCTGTCAAGGGCAATTGCCACACACAGAAGAAGCGCTAGTATTTGAAACGTATAGTGGGGTTGGTGATCACGGTGAAGGAAATTGTGAAGTGAGTAGGGCTAATACACAGTCTGAAGAGGAAGATAGAAGCCTTCTGGTTATTGATTATATAGCATCCCTCTTGTTGAAATTAGAAAGTGTTCATCTCGTTTCAGTTCGGTGCATTGATGAACTGGTAGATGATCTTTACTTTATTTCAAGTTCTGCTACAAAATCATCAGTTAGAGATATTGTTGTTTCACATCTAACAAAAACAAATCAAACCATAGATGAGACATTTGTTTCATCTCTTGTTGAAGAACTGTGCAAATCAAATCCTCTAAGCTTAGCACTCAATAGTGGTGGTCCTCTGTCTTCATCGTTCAGGAGACGAGATTATTTTAAAAAAAACTTTGAAGTAGTTGAGCCTATTGAGTGCATCCTTGAACCAAAAGAGAAGAGTTGTTTTCAGTATGTCCCAATTCTTCAGTCCTTGACTCAGTTATTGGCCAAACAAAATATAAGAGAAAAGATTCTAAGCAAAGAACGTGAGTTACCATCAACTTTATACAAATCATATCGTGATGCTACTATCTATAAAGATAATTCGTTCTATTCAGAAGAACTACGAATTTCTCTTCTACTGTATATAGATGATTTTGAGATTTGTAATCCACTTGGAACATCAAGAAAAAAGCACAAGATAACAGCTGTATACTGGACATTTAACAACAACCCTCTCTCATCTCGATCCACTCTGAACTCTGTGTACTTGGTCCTTTTATGTAAAGCCGTAGACATAAAAAAATATGGCTATGATCAAGTACTTGCCCCTTTGTTGAAAGACATTGCTATCTTAGAACAGGATGGGATCTACATTTCGACGTTGGGACAAAATGTAAAAGGAAGTGTGCTTTGTGTAGCAGCAGACAATCTGGGAGCACACTCAATCAGTGGACTTGTTGAAAATTTTTCTGGACCATTTGTTTGCAGATTTTGTCTTGGTCAGCGATCAGACTTTCAGATAAAGGAGGTGCGGTCAGGTGCATTTCCTCTTCGCACCAAAGAGGAACATGCGTCGCATGTATTGACCATTAAAGCAAATCCTGCTTGGACACATTTTTATGGTGTAAAAAAGTCTTGCCCATTGACTGAAAATCTGAAGTACTTCCATTGTGTCACTGGCTACCCACCTGACATACTGCATGACATTTTTGAAGGCATTGTTCCTTTGGAACTGGGTCTGTGCTTCAGTGTTTTCCTTTCTAAGAAATATTTCTCATTTATTGAGCTTAACAGTGCTATCTTGCAGTTTCCCTATAAATGGGCTGATAAAACTGATTGTCCACAGGCATTACCTGCAAACCTTTCCTCAAAAAAAAAGCTAGGAGGAAATGCTCATGAAAATTGGACCCTCATACGACTCTTGCCATTTATCATTGGGCACAGAATTCCTTTGAATGATCCAAACTGGCTTTTGCTTATGTCTTTAAAAGACATTGTTGAACTTGTCGTTGCTCCAGTCCACAATGAAGAAAGCATTGCCTACCTTGACTACAAGATTTCTGAACACAGATACAGATTCAAGGAAGCATTTCCTGATGAAGATTTCATCCCAAAGCATCACTTTCTGGAGCATTATCCAGGATTGATCAAGGCTTTTGGACCTTTGATAGCTTTTTGGACAATGAGGTTTGAAGCGAAACATAGCCAGTTTAAACGAATAGTAAGGCATACTGGCAACTTCAAGAATGTCCTTTTATCCATGGCTACAAAGCACCAACTTATGATGAGCCATTACCTGCATTCTACAACAATTGAGCCTGCACTTGGTGTTGTTAGAGTAAAGTCAGTGCCATTGGATGTCCTGCATTTAGATATTCAGGCATCAATCAAGCATCTTTATCCTTCACATGATCAAGTACAGCTGGCTGACACAGTCACATATCAGGGAACAAGATACACTCAAGGCATGATTGTGGCCTATGGTTCTACTGCAGGTCTTCCTGATTTTGCAGAAATTATTCAAATAACTATTTTTGCAGAAAGAGTGCATTTTATTTTGAGGACACTGGTGTCTTGGTTTGATGAACATTATCGTGGATATTACTTGGAGAGGACAGATCACACAATTCTCATTGAACAACAAAGCCTTAGTGATATATGTCCTCTTTCAGCTTATGTTGTTGAAGGAAAGCGCATGGTGACTTTAAAGCGCCACATCTGTCTCAGGTGTTGAGAATCATTGTATCTTTTCTCTGTCTTCAGTTTTTCAAGACATGGAGCAAACTGTAAGATTCCGCATCCTAATTGATGATCAAATAAAAAAAGTTACACTCAGCAGTGGGGTACCCTCAACTGTGGCTGAGTTGGTTGCAGCAGTCAAGGAAAATCTGTCCATCCCCACAGATATAAGTCTTCAGTACAAAGATGAAGATTTTGGTGACTTCTTCACCGTAACATCTACAAATGAACTGAAAGATAAAGACACACTTAAAGTTGTATATGCACCTATATGCTTAGATTTGACAGTTGCTGACCAAGAAAGCAACTGTGATGTATCTGTGATGTCCTCCTTTGACAGTGACAGTGCTAGTGGCTCACTGGATTCCCAAGATACTGTCATTTTGAGTCAGTCCACCTTTGAAAGGCAGAACCCCTGGCCTGCTGTGTTTCCCATTCCAACTTTTTCACACAACACTGAGCTTGCTTTGAAACAAGGCAATGAGACATATTTAAAAGAGGGCACCCCGATGACATCACCTGGTTTCAGATCTGACATCCTTGAGCGTCTGGCAGAAGCAATGTTTTCTTATACTGCTTACCCTGATGATGCCCAAAGAAGTGCTGTAGCACAGGCACTAGTTGAGAAGCATCCCTGCTTGAAGGAACCAGGGTCTTTTAATGGAATTTATGGATGGCAGCAAAGCCTGAAATACAAATGTGGAAACTACCGCACAAAACGTAGAGCACTGGGAAGTCCTGAACTCTTGATCAACTCATTGTCACAAAAGCCTGGTGATGAGCAAGAAGTTGCTAAAAACATCAAGAAAGCAAAGAGGGCAGAACTTAATTACCTTCCTCCACATCCACCTGGTGAAACAGACGACACTCTTGAGAATATGAGGCTTGAAATAATAACTGCCAGCAAGAGAAAAGACTGTGGCAAAGACATAAACTACCTGATGACCAGGACATACAGCTTGAGAAGAAAAGAAGTGGTTTCTCAGTCCCCAAGGGTGACAAACTTTATGGAAAGATGGCCCGCTCTCTTCGATACATTTCAGGTCAATGATTATTATTCATGTTTTATTACTGTTCTTTATTTACTTAGTTTAAAGCATTTACTGATAATCATTTGCATTTTTATAGATAAATGCAGAGTTCCAAAGGTGCACTGCTGTTCCTCTACAGTCTACATTCATGTCTCAGCTGGATAAATGTACTCCAAAGCTCCTGGATTTGTTCAGTGCCAAGGGAGGAGCAGTTGGTCAGCGCATCAAGAACTTATTGATGGAACTGATACAGGTGAGTTAAAAAATCATGGTATTACATTAAGTCATCTGTATTCATTTTCAGTTTGAAGTTTTAACTTTGGTTTCAAAGCCCTGAACAGTCCACCTGTCTGAGCATCTAACCCCATACATTAGGGCTGCTCAATTAATCGAATTTTAATCACGATTACGATCTGAGTTTTGAACGATTATAAAAACAAAACAAGCCTCCTGCTCATGTTTCACGTGTGAATCACTCCCGGTTTGGACTGAGCTCATGGGTAAAACACTGCTATTTTGTTAGGTGCTGCGTTCAAGTCCAGTGGAAAGAAGGGGTAAGATGTGACTAGGGCTGCCACAAACAACTATTTTGATAATCAACTAATTGCCACTTTTGTTGACCATTAGTCGACTAATCACGTCATGCAAAAAAGTATAGCTTTTTCCACAAGATGCTTAATATAGCCATCATTAGCTACTAGATTGAAGTGTTATCATTTATGTGCCATCTAATAATAAAGACAAGATGATCGCTTATCAAACAACTTTAAATAAACTTTCTAACCTGTTAATACAAATGCTACACAGTAAAGGGAGGTAGGCACCAAAAACCAAAATAAATTGTATTTTTTTTAAAAGCGCTCATAGAATAAACGTCGACTATTAAATTTGTAGTCGACTACTTTGTTTAATTTCATTTTGTTGATGTCATCATGAAGAATCGACTAATCGTGCCAGCAATAGATGTGATCTAAATTGTGTGGGGCAAGGGCTTTCTTGTTTGCCAGCCACAATTTTTGGAATGTTCACATATGTGCAGTGGGCTTGATTGCTTGCTTGGTCTAAATCCATAATGAAGTTATATTTCAACCATTTTGCTTTAGGTCAGTGATCCCTACTTATAACTTTTTGCTTATGTGTGGCTGTTTTTCGATGCTCTGCTTCTTTTTGTGGAAATTTGGTTATTATGATGCTTTTTTTGTTTGTTTGTTTGTTTTTCTCGCTGTCATCTTTTTTGTCGTCTACGTTTATGGTGCTTTTTTGTCTTTCTGTGCAGTACTTTGGTAAGTTGTCATGCTGTTTTTTAAACTGATTTATTGTATGGAAGCTTAGTTAATGCTAAATCAAAAGTTACTTTCTTACTTCAAAAGATCGCAGGTGCAAAAGAAAGCAATTTGATGTAAATAAAAATTAATAAAAATAATGCTACGTCTAAATTATTAGACCTTTTCTATTGATATCAACCTTTTACTGGGAAATACCACTACACACGTTTTGTTTGAATGTGTATGTATCAAAAAATTGTGGGTAGTGTGTCAAAAAGAGACATTTTTTCTGTTGTCAGAATTTTAATTAATTTAATGACTTTTTCATTAACTTTAGGACACAAATGTCTCCACTGTGCAGAAGAGAGACGTAACTCTGAGATGCCTCATTGAGTACATGGGAGAGAGTGGACAGGAGCTCATCTTGGACTACTATGTAAGTAAATTATTAGGGCCAAGATTGAATCAATCTGTTGCACAAACTGGATTTGATAAGTAATAAAAATAGGCTACCCTAGTTTTGCATAGTTGTTTTAATAAACATCCACAAAGTATAACCTCCAGGATGATTGAGCACTGAAATTCAGCCGTTGCGCCTGAGCCTATGTAAGGGAAACATTGATGTGTGCAAATGCATCTGTGTGTCTGCTCTGTTTTCACAAATATCCAGTGAGTTATGGGGAGTCGCTGTTCATGTTAACGAGCTCACTTTAACGTTGATTGGTCAAATATACGAGCAAGTTAAGTTTACGTTTACAACAAAATAAACAAGTTTACAAATCGTTCAGTGAACTCTTTAGGCACAACAATGCCATGTTGTACTTGTTAACCTTTCCCTTCTCACCCCCAAATTCCACTACCTCCGCTGCGCTCCGCTCCGACACGAACGCCGGAGCAAAATCGGTCCCGTTCTAGTCAATCAGAGCAATTCCACTACTGCGGCCGTGCGCCGCCCTCTGTTCCGGCGTCCGGCAAAAATAGAATCGATCCTATTTTCACCGGACGCCGGAGCACCTCCGCAGTCAATGGACAGAAATCACAAACACCCAACAGGAAAAGGAGCAAGCAGAAATTCCGTTTTTCACAATACATCGATAAACAAAAGGCGTTTTTTGTTTCATATGCACAGATTTAACAACTTTTAACAACTATCAGTGGCGGCTGAAGTTTAAATGCACAAAAATAAGCCATAAATACAGTTTCCACTATCAAAGTAGTCACACTTTGTTGATCCAAACACTGCTGATCTGTCAACACAAATGATGGGCAGATTAAACAGTTCATGTCGATGCTTCTCCCACACAACGGGTGTTTGGATCTAACTTCCGCGTTTATTGCTCGGACTGTATCGCAAGATCTCGAAAATCCCGCGCATGCTTGTTTGCCCACCTCAGGTCTCCGCACCGGAGCGGAGCCGTTGTAGAGCGGGTACCAGTAAAAATTGAGTTCGGAAGCGAGCGGCTGCGGAAGGCGGGGGCGGACCGGAGCGGAGCGGAGGTAGTGGAATTTGGGGGTTAGTCGTACATTTGCAGGATTTCCCCCAGCGCTTTATAAGCCAGGCTTTGCTTGGCCACCCGACACGAACGGCACAACAAAACTAGAGCCCTCCATCATCTTATACTGGTGAGAAACAGCAGCGGAACGTGTGCAGGGAACTCCAGCAACAAAGGAAGAACTCAGCACATTACAGTCCTAATAAATTTAATACATATTAGAGAAACATTTTAACCAAAAAACTCATCTATATTACTGACTGTTGATGTTGAATTACAGTTCAAATTCCATAGCCATCATCCCACACTGATGAAATTTATCTCCGCATTTGACCCATCCCGATGAAGGGGAGTGGTGAGCTGCAGCAGTGGCTGCGCTCGGTAACTATTTGGTAGTTTAACTCCCCAATCCAACCCATTAAAGCTGAGTGTCAAGCTGGGAGGCATTGGGTACCATTTTTAAGATCTTTGGTATGACCTGACCAGGAATCAAACCTCTATCTCCAAGTTCCAGGGCAGACACTCTACTACTAGGCCAGGGGTCGGCAACTCGCGGCTCTGGAGCCGCATACGTCTCTTTCATCCATCTGATGCGGCTCTCTGCTTGTAAAATAATTAATGAATATTTAATTACAATGTATTTTATTTTACTGCATTCATTTTTTATCTGTAGCCAATTCTAAATGTAAAGATTGTCTATGTAAACCTGAACAGGTCACCTGCTTGTGCGTAATCAAATGTCTCTAGGCGCTTTCTGAGCTGAAGAGGATGTGAGGTTCTGGACTGTTCCTCAGACAGGCTCATGGATGCGTCGTAGTGTTGGAGACAGGAACAAGTGCTATTAAGCCAAAGATTCATAATCAGGGAACATTTTCTAAGTGACTAGTCTCTGAGAGACCGGGTTTAGAAAACACAGAATCTTCCTGCATGGTTCTGGTTCTGCGATGCGTTCCAAGCCCCCGATCTACACATCTTCAGCTTGCTGTTCACCATACGCATGCGCTGACGGCGAGCTGCGCTGAGCTCAGTGTCCATCTCAAATGTTCTGATGGTTATCTTTTCCTGATTGATGTAGCTACCTCCACGATGTGTGTAACGATAAAAATGTCAGCGCATCTGTAGGCTTGAGATTTCTCCGTCAAAATAAACACTCAAATACAGGAAATATCCGGTCCGTGCGAACCCTGTCATTTAACTATTTTGCCTTCTTGTGAAGATGGTTGCAAACAGAAACATTAAACCTGATTAACACCAGAGCCACGCACACTGCGCCGTTATCTCAGTCAGTGCGAATGAGGAAAATAACAGAACTGATTGGATCCTTGGGTGTGAAAGGTTCGGGAGCAAAAAAGAAAGGGCTCACGGGCCAGATGTGGCCCGTGGGCCGCCTATTGAGTACCGCTGATGTAGATGAACACATACAATTTAAAGCTTTTTTTTTATTTTATTTATTTAATGTTAGCTCTTCAAGTCATGCAGCATTTGCATTAAAAATGCCATAGAAATTAATGTTACTGAGACACAAATAATTCTGGCTAAAAAGTCAGGAACTGATGATTTTGGTATTTGTGTTAATTTTTTTAATTGATGTTTTGCCATTGTCTTTGTTTGTCATTAAGGGAAGCCCAGAGACCAGCGTGCACGAGGACCTAAAACTGCGCAGCATGATGATCTACATTTGCCATGATCCAGATGCTGTAGGAATAATCATCGAGGGAGTGCCGGTGCTCACTAATCTTGGCAGTCTAGCCAAAGCATGCAGCATGCTTCTCGGTCTGACATACGCCCTGAACCTCCAATATCCTACCAAACTTGTCAAAACGTTTGAAGTTTTTCAGAGACTTTTTGTGGGTCTTGATACACTCCGCCCAAAACCAAGCTCCAGGTACATGACTCTGAAAAACAAACTTCTTACCTAGGCAGCCAACTTGAGTGTGGCCCCTACACTTCTGAACAGCAGGTCTGTTGTGTTCGTTCAATAATAAAATGTGTTTTTCAATGACAAAAGGCAATTGTTCCAGATATTGCTCTGGGTTGTCATGTGACAGTTTTTTTAAGCTGAGATGGGTTCTGTTCAAAAGTAGTTTGGATAACACTTGAAAATTACTTGTTAAATGACTTGTTCTTTAAAGTGAAATGTCAAGTATATAAACAACAAAACACTACAAATTTTGAGAGGTTCAGCTGTACTTCATACAAATATGTTCATGTATTTTTCGATTGAAATGCTTCCAGATTTTAGGTGGAAAATGCTTCATGTTGTCATTGACAGTATGAGTTTTGTGAGCATAGGTCTCACACCGTTCCGGTGTTTACTGTGATGTAAATGTTTTACAGTAATATGTGTATGGCTTGTAAAAATCTTTACAAAAGTTGTAAGATTTACAATTTACAAATCTTGTTAGTATTTACTTCAGTGCCACTGTTTCAATGATTTTGGAAAAATAAATGTTGAAAGTGGACTATTTACAGCTTCACAGTATTTATCATTATTTACTTTTTACATTTTAAAAACTGTTTTAGTATTGAAAAGTTGAATTAAATCTAAATAATTTCAATTTTTGGTTTATTTTTTGGAATAACATCAAAGAAAGGTTTCAGTTCATATAAAATAATGAAGATTATTAATTTTTCCATAGTCCAAATACTAAGTTTAACAAACTTTAAAAATTTGTTTGGGAAATGCTGCCTTGATTATTTTTGAATAATTTAAATCTCACAGGTTTTAGTGTAGAAAAAACGTGAAATTATTAAGTTGTACCTACTTAAAATAATAGTTAGTTGACCAAATTAAAAAAAATTGTTTGGAAAATCTTGACTTAATTTTTTGGAGTAATTTGAAAGACACAGGTTTTAGTGTAGAAAAAAGGTGAAATTATTAAGTTGTACCTACTCATATTGCTGGTTAGTTGACCAAACTTACAAAATTTGTTTGGAAAATGTTGCCTTATTTTTTTTGAGTAATTTGAAAGAAACAGTATTAACAGTATACTTGGTGCATATTGTAGGGCTATATCTTTTAGACCGTCTGTCATTTTCCTTTAATGAAATTAAAATCTAGTTTGGTATGATTTTTCTTCTTTTATTGGTAATTAATATAATAGTTGATGAGCTTTTCAGTTTGGTTGTACGTGTAATGGAATTTAGTATGTCCTATCCTTATGTGAATTTTCTAATCTTCATTTTGTTACTCTATTTCTAAAAAAGATACATAAATTGAGCTAATTATTTCTGCGTAATCCAATAGAAATGTGAAAAGTAAAATATTTGAATATGTAGAGAATGTTAATACGTGTAAATTAGATATATTTCATCACGTATCCCATAACAATAAACATTGTTTCATTTCAAGTATTCACACCAAGAAAAGCAATTTTAGTATATTTAATGTAATGTTCAAATTCAAGATTCTTTTATTATATGATCCTGAGGAAGCATTTTAATGCTTTATTTGTCCATAAAGTTCAATACACCATTCATTTTCAGTAGAATTGGCTGACAATACAATGAAATACAAACATTTACCAGCAGATGTCCTCACAGAGTTTTGAAGCATCAAACCTTGAACCTTTTTTCAATACAATTGGATTGTAAAGCTTTGTTGGTTCAAAAGGCTTCACATCATCATCACTAGTGGTGTGGACCCAAAATGCAGTACCCAGGATGACACGGAGGCAGGGATGAAGATAAGAAAAATCCTTTATTTTAAGGTGAAACAAAAAATAATAAGTCCAAGGCAGGGGGCCAGTAGTCCAAAATTCCAGATAAAGCTCTGGAGATCCAACACTCTAGAGAATCCAAGGGGACAAAGAACACTGGTAATCCAAAAGAGACGAGACTGACAGAATAACACAACATTAATGGACCGACACAAGACAGAGAACAAGACCGGGCTTATATAGACTGAGAAGATGAGGGAGATGAATTGCAGGGGCGTGGAGAGGAACAGGTGAATGCAATTACCAAATCAGGGAGGAGGAACAAAAAACTGAAAAGCTGTAACAAAGGAAAATGACCTAAGGGAAAAACAAAAACCAGAAATCATGAACATAACTAAATACTAAGGAGAGCTGACACTAAAGGAAGACACTACAGAAGGAAACTACAGGGGCGTGGCTAAGAGGGTACCAAGAGAGCACAGGACCTGGAAGGGAAATGTCAGAGGGAAGGGCTCACCCACACACACACACACACACACACACACACACACCTACACATTCACACTGAACTGGGCAAGATACGCACACACACACACACAAGCACATACACACACACAAATACACGGACACCAAAATACACTCACACACGTCTATATTGGCTGGGGGGAACAAGAGGCTGGAGCTGCAACTTGGGGCACAGAGAACACTGGACCTGAGGGGATGATAAGAAGGTCTACAAACAGAGGACACCATATAGAGACGCAGACAAAGGACACATGAGGGCGCTAAGAGACACAGAAAGGAGGAATCTAAAGAGGGATGGAGGACATAAGGAGACACATAGGGAAGACAGACGCAGACCATGACACAGGGCCGTATCAAGGCATTTGGGGACAAAGGCAAATATAGGCTTGGAGCCCCCACCACCCCACTCCCTGCTCAGTTAAAGTAAGATGGCAGCGTGTTGAGAGTACAGATTGCTTTTATTTAATAAACAATCACTTTAAAGCACTGTTATTATATCTGACTGTTTTAACAGCAACCCTAGCTCAGACACCACATCACTTTCCACATATATGTCATGAGCTCACTGAGCGTCAGATTACCAGATTCATATTGAAGTTGTATTGGTGAAAGTAACTTAAAGTAATGCAAAAGTTGTGTAATGCCTTACAATTTAAAATCAGTAATATTGTAATGCAATGAATTACTTTAAAATGAGGGTAACAAGTAATAAATAATGCATTACAGTTTTGAAGTAACTTGCCCAACACTGTCCATAGTCTCCAATAATAAGTTTTTGAGCTAAAATGGGAGGTGGCCACCACCGCCATTTTGACCGTGTCACAGGTTCCGTCAAGCTCAGACAATTTCACAAAAGGGAAGAGAGGTGGAGCTGAGGGTGGGGCTGTAAGGCTGGGATCAAATTACAACACCCGTCGAACTGAAGCGATGTAGCTACAAGCTAACCCAAAGCTAACACGGAGGTAGCAACCTAGCTACAACCGAGTTAACTGTGCACAACACCAGAGCTTCTGAGTCACAGACACGCCGGACTGACCGCTGGGTAAAACTGGGTAGAACACAGAGGTCTCCAAGAGCTCCACAAACTGGCAGCCGTGCAGCAGACAACCGCCGCTGCGATCAGAGGTGCGCAGAGCTGCAGCTGGGGAGAACCGGGTGGAAAACATCTGTTTCCATCTGAGAGCTCCACAAGCCGGCAGCCCGCGCAGCAGACAGGGGCCGCGTCAAAAATTTGTATTTTTAACACAGGAGTCAATGAGGATTTGCTCGCTTCTGACACCAGCCCCCAGTGGATGAGGGTGGAACTGCAATTTATTTCACTTCTGCATTGGCCTCACTTTCAGACCCGAATTGTGGGGGCTTGGTTTGCTCCAATGCCCCCCCCCCCCCCCCCCCCCCCCAGAACCATGACGGACACCCCCATCTCAATCATGGACTCCTTCCACTTCCTTGGGACCACCATCACCCACAATCTCAAGTGGAAGATGTCCATCAGCTCCCTCATCAAAAAGGCCCAGCAGAGGATGTTCTTGCTGTAGCATCTGAGGAAATTCTGTATGCCAACCATAATGACGGTCCAGTTCTACACGACCATCATGGAGTCCATCCTCACTTCCTTCATCACTGTGTAGTTCGCTGGGGCTACTAAGAGGGATAAGCACAGACTACAGCATGTTGTATGATCAGCAGAAAAGGTGATCGGTTGTAGCCTTCCATTGATCCATGATCTGTACACCTTCAGGGTTCTTGGGCGTCCATTCGGACCAGAACCTCTCGCCACAAAAACTGCTTCTTCCCTTCTGCTGCAGGACTTCTGAACACCAAATACCCACTAGTACCATACAGATCTGCAGTAGTCACTTTATGTTTCATTATTGTCTTCTTATATTAATCTTTCATAATCATCTTTTTTGATGCATCCTATTTTTCATTTGCTTCACTTGTATGTTTGCACCATTCCACCAAAGCAAATTCCCAGTAACCCCAATCACTAGTTCCTCAGGAGGATTTAACCTTCTGAACTTGGCATATTTCTGGCAAAAAGTTAGCTATCTACACAGAACTTTTCATAACAAAACCTTCTTGGTTACAGAATGGGATTTTATACAATATTACTGTAAAATGAACAGTTATATTCTGCTTTTTACTTTAAGCAAGCCTAGAGCTCCACAACTTCATTTGGTGGGGTCTGGCCCCAAACGCAGAGACAACAACAAACTAAACTTTGTACCTTTTTTAACTGTGAGTTAATAAGAGTAAACAAAACATGTTAATTGAATGAAAATAGTAAGATTTCAGAGTTTTTCATGAATTCACTTTTGTGTTTTTAGGGACATCAATCTTAGCACTTGAATCAAATTCTCATCAACTGATCATCATGTCCTTCTTCTCATATCGTGAGTCCAACCCGCCTTACCTCACTCAGCATTATGTATACACATAAACTGCTCACATGTAGAATAACTTAGTAATACAGAGTAATTTAATAATCAATGAAATAAATCTACAAGTAGAGATGATTCTCCACTCCTTTTTCCTTTCATGAGCCAAGTCAAAGTTCTAGAAGCATATCTACCTTTATTAATTTTCATGCTTAAAACTGTGTGTGTGTGTGTGAGTGTGTGTGTGTGCGTGTGTGTGTGTGTGTGTGTGTGTGTGCGTGCGTGCGTGCGTGTGTGTGTGTGTGTGTGTGTGTGTGTGTGTGTGTGCGTGCGTGTGCGTGCATGCGTGTTTGTGTAAAGCAAGATTGCAATAAAGCATTGTATAACTTCATCCTAAGATTTGATTAATAATTTTTTCTTGCAGGAATGGTCCAGGATGCATATGAAAAATTGACCGATGAGGTAAGGAAATGCTTATTTCAGTTTACTTTTGCAATTCAAACACTCCCACCTGTGATATTCAAGGAAATTCACACTGTGAGCACACTGAATACCCCTCCTTATTAGGTACCATCTCCCCAAAGAAATGCCACCCCACGCCATGAGCAGTAGCTCAGGAAGTAGAGCAGGTTGTCCAGTAATCGGAAGGTTGCAGGTTTGATTCCGGCTCTGACCAGAGAATGCTGCTGTTGTGTCCTTGGGCAAGACACTTAACCCTCCTTGCCTGCTGGTGGTGGTCGGAGGGACTGATGGCGCCTGTGCTCGGCAGCCTCACCTCTGCCAGCGTGCCCCAGGGCAGCTGTGGCTACATTGTAGCTCATCCCCACCAGCAGGTGAATGTGTGTGTGAATGGGTGAATGACTGATTGTGTTGTGAAGTCCCTTGGGGGGTCGTAGAACCCCTAAGAAGGCACTATAGAGCTCCGGGAGTTGACGTCACTTCTCCCGGCATGCAACAGTTCAAATCGAAACGGCGCCATATTGGCATGCAGAAGCCGGCAGCTGGACTATTTGTTATTGTCAGAAAACTCAATCAAACGGGAAATATGGTAGATTCCTGTTGTGCCCCAGGATGCAGAACAGACGCGGACGACATAAGGGACGAGCCATCTACAGGATTCCCCAAGATCCGGAGTGCCGTCAACGTTGGATCATTGTAATAAAACGCGCTAGTGACCGGGCTAAAATGAAACTGGGGGATCCCGAGAGTACAGGCTTTCGCTTATGCAGCGACCACTTCATATCAGGTACTTAAACCAACGTTTCCTCAACTGTGTGTGGTGTTTATTTTAAATGCTTTTATTATGATTCTTAGTGGGCTTCCTAAACTTATTTTATCGTGGCTTTTTCTGTCTTATTACTCACAGCAACAAGTAAACATCACGTAAAACGTTGCCTCGTGAGTTCTGCGTGCTGCCGTTTACGTGTTTTATGATCACAGCAATTAACCGGCTAAGCTGTATTTAATTTTTAAGCAATGGTTGATCAGTTGCCAGATCACACATAAAAAGCACTTTGGATTGCTATTTCTGTCTCACCGAGACTACTTACGTGTAAATCTGTTATTTGTCCGTCCATCCATCCATTTTCATCCGCGTATCCGGAGTCGGGTTGCGGGGGCAGTAGCGTGACTTCCCTCTCCCCAGCCGCTGGAGCCATCTCCTCCGGGTAAATCCCAAGGGGTTCCCCGGTCAGGTCCGGTGTTGTGCCGGTCCGCTCCGACAGCTTCTGGCGTCGGAGCGGGCAGTAGAGTCGAGAGTCCCAGACCTTCTCCCCAGCTCCTCCGGCCGGGGGAATCCCAAGGGGTTTCCCCGGCCAGGTCCGGTGTTGTGCCGGTAAGAAGTCCGCTACGACAGCTTCTGGCGTTTTTAAAAAGTATCCCAGGGGCACGGTAAGGGTCGGAGCTGTTTAGTCTATTTAATTTCTGACTATATAAAACGATTTCTTCTGTTTTAAAGTGTGAAGTAAACTCCGACGAAGTAAAATCCAAGCGGATCCGTTCATGTTCATGGTTACATCCGTGTTTGTTTACCTTTTTTTGCATGCCAAAATGGCGTCCACTAACTGAGAGTCACGTGGGGTCCGGAGCTCTATAGACAGCTACAGTTTATAAGCTTGTCTCTCCCATGTTCCAGTCAGAATTGACAAAGCTCCTCAGATGAGAAGTAAAACATCTTCAAGAAACCAATTAAGTCTGGTTACCTTTATTTGAGCCCTTTTGGAAATCTTGTGTTCTCTGGCAAATACCAGGTCCTCTTTTGTTTGCAATTTATCTGCTTCATCTGGAGTCAATCTTTCGTAAACATGGACTAGTGTTCCATCTCTATGCTGACGATTGCCAGATGTACTCTCCATTGTGTCAGGAGAAAGGTCTCTTTATCCAGTCCTTTGTGTCCTGTCTTAACAAGGTAAAGTTGTGGCTAACGGCCAACTCTCTGCATCAGAATGAGGGAAAGACAGAGCCAATAGCAGGGCTGTGGGTCGTTATGTTGATCTTGGCCCTCCTTCTCCCTACTCAAAACCAGTTGTCCCCAGTCTGGGGGTGAAAATTGACGCTGGACTTAAATGGCAGACCGGGGTGGTGGTCCCCATCTTTAAGAAGGGTGACCTGAGGGTGTGTTCCAACTATAGGGGGATCACACTCCTCAGCCTCCTGGAAAGGTCTACTCCAAGGTACTGGAGAGGTGGGTCCGATCGATAGTTGAATCTCAGATTGAGGAGGAGCAATGTGGTTTTTGTCCTTGCCGTGGAACCGTGGACTAGCTCTATACCCTTGCAAGGGTGATGGAGGGGGCATGGGAGTTTGCCCAACCAATCCACATGTGTTTCGTGGATTTGGAGAAGGCTTATGACCGTGTCCCCAGGGGGATCCTGTGGGGGACGCTCCAGGAGTATGGGGTGGGTGGCTTTCGGTTAAGGGCCACTCAGTCCCTTTACCAGAGGAGCGTGAGTTTGGTCCGCATAGCCGGTAGTAAGTTGGACCTGTTCCCGGTGATGGTTGGACTCCGCCAGGACTGCCCTTTGTCACCGGTTCTGTTCATTACCTTTATGGACAGAATTTCTAGGCGCAGCCGTGGTGTTGAGTGTGTCGAATTTGATGGCAGGAGAATCTCGTCTCTGCTTTTTGCGGATGATGTGGTCCTCCTAGCTTCATCCACCTCTAATCTTCAGCTCTTGCTGGGTAGGTTCGCGGCCGAGTGTGAAGCGGCTGGGATGAGGATCAGCACCTCCAAATCTGAGACCATGGTTCTCGACCGGAAAAGGGTGGCTTGCCACCTCCGGGTCGGGAGAGAGGTCCTACCTCAAGTGGAGGAGTTTAAGTATCTCGGGGTCTTGTTCACGAGTGAGGGTAGGAGGGATCGGGAGATCGACAGGCGGATTGGCTCAGTGTCTGCAGTGATGCGGACGCTGAGCCGATCTGTCATGGTGAAGAGGGAGCTGAGCCAGAAAGCCAGGCTCTCGATTTACCGGTCGATCTACCTCCCAATCCTCACCTATGGTTATGAGCTTTGGGTAATGACCGAAAGAACAAGATCGCGGATACAAGCGGCCAAAATGAGTTTCCTCCGTAGGGTGGCCGGGCTCAACCTTAGAGGTAGGGTGAGGAGCTCGGACATTCGGGAGGGACTCGGAGTAGAACCGCTGCTCCTCCGGATCGAAAGGAGTCAGTTGAGGTGGTTTGGGCATCTGGTCAGGATGCCTCCTGGACGCCTCCCTGGGGAGGTGTTTCGGGCATGTCCTGCTGGCAGGAGGCCCCCGGGTCGACCCAGGACATGTTGGAGAGGTTACATCTTCAATCTGGTCCGGGAACACCTTGGGGTCCTGCCGTAGGAGCTGGTGGAGGTGGCCGGGGAGAGGACAGTCTGGAGCTCCCTAGTTGGGATGCTGCCCCCGCGACCCGGACCCATTATCCTTATATCATTTGAAGAAATTTGAATGCAAAATTAAAATGGAATTAGATTTATTTCGCATCCATTTAGCAAATGTTTTAGTTTATTATTTAATTCTTTCTTTCTTACGTACTCAATTTATTTATTTTTGTTGTTTGTTTTGTTTAAAACTGAAGTTGGTTCCCTTCTTTAATCTCCAATTTGGAAAGGTCAATTGTAACAATTTTTTTTTCACTTCCTGCGTCTTTAATCTGCTCTAATTATTAAAAGTTTTAGTTCATGGGTGATAAAGCAGAACTCTCAAAATAAAATTAGCCTACTTTTTATAAACGCAACCTATAGTGCAGAAAAAAATATGATAATAATATGATAATCCAAACTCACAATAAATAATTGAATCTCCTAAATGTTTCACAAATTACCAGCTGTCTTTTAAGTCCAGATTTGAAGAGTCTAAGTGTTGTTTTGAGCTGGACCCGATCTAAGGTGGATCAGATGAAAAAAAAAAGTTCTGAAATTTGTGTTTTATTGAACTGTAACAAATCAAATAAAGATTTCACAAATCACAAACTATGTGTTATCAGGACTCTGCTATTAGCTTAAATTAATCTAGTTAAGGTTTGAAGAGTTTAGGTGTTGCAGATGTTGAGCTGAGCCAGTTCTAATGTAGAAAAGTGCTGAAATCGGTTTCCTTTGATCTTTCACAAATCAAATAAAAGTTTTAAAAATCAGAAACAGTTTTTTAAAGATTCTGTTTCTAGTGAAAAAAATCCAGGTTTGATAAGTGTTGTAAACTCATAATTATAACTGAGTAAAGATGCTCAGGGAGTGGAAATATTTGATGGAATTGCCTTTTCTGGCTCTGAAACTAAAAATGGGAAACAACTTCAGCTTCGTCTGCTGTTTTTTTGCTTTTTGTAATAATTTAATCTCTTGTTCTAATAAATAAACAAATAAATTAATATTCACGTCGGCAAGCAACCTCTGAGGTGATCCATAAACAGGGATGGTATACATAACAATTGAATTAGCTCCAGTATCAAGTGTTGATTTGCACAAACCAGACGTTTTAACTGAGCAGAGTGCACAGTGGGAGAGAGCATGTGATGAGCGCGCGTATGAGCCACTTAGGCAGTGCAGAGTGGTGGGGAAACGCATTTCAACAATGGAACTGACTTGAATACTGACATATCACTGGTAAAAGTATGTAAGTAAGTAAAAGTTTATTTATAGAGCGCCTTTCGCAGATATAAATCACAAAGCGCTGTACAACTTGAGTAAGATCAGGGCAAATACATTTAACCAATAAAAACATCAGAAAAACAATAGCAGTGATAAAATAGTAAATAAAATCAGGAGTATAAACAAAGTGAAGGTGTGAACCCGAACAAAGCCATCTTTTGGAACATTTAGGGAGGGAACGCCTGGATGAAAAGGTGAGTTTTTAGATGATTTTTAAAGACCTCTACAGTGTTAGAGAGACAGAGATTTGAAGGTAGACTGTTCCAAAGTCTGGGTGCAATAGTCTGAAAGGCCCTGTCCCCTTTGGTTTTCAGTCTGGTTCGAGGAACAGCCAGGAGGTTTTCAGATGTGGATCTAAGGTTCCGAGAGGTGGTGTGTGGGGATAAAAGCTCAGATAGGTAGCTTGGAGCCTGGTTGTTAAGAGCTCTATAGGTCAGGACTAAAACTTTAAACTGAATTCTATATTCTACCGGGAGCCAGTGGAGGGACTGTAAAACTGGAGTGATGTGAGCTCATCTGCTGGATTTGGTTAGGAGTCTGGCTGCTCTGGTACATAAAGGTGCAGTATTTAATTAGCAACAGGAGAGGGTTTATAGATAATTTTTTGTGGAGTAAATCTGGTGATTTTGACACATTACCGTGGGCTGTGGTTTGCACTAAATACACCATTATTTATTTTTGGGACCCCCCCCCCACACACACACACACACCACCACCACACACACCTCTTCATTTTTCTCCCTCCTTTTGCTTTCATTTCTGTCTCTGTGTTCATTTGGATTAAAAATAGCCAAAAGTAATTCTAATGAAGTTACTGTAAAATCAGGCGGGACATTATTGCTGAAGCTGTGAGGCCTTGCCTGGGAGAGTAAATCTGTAAGGCTTGTTTGTGGCACTCAGACATCATTTTGGTCATTTCATGTCCTTTCTTCTTTCAAATTCTGCAGAAACCTTTACTCACAAAAGCATTTATAGTATACTAAAGCAGAGAAACAATCTATGCAGCTTTTAACATTTTTTAATAATCAGTAGAAAAAGAAAAGATAAAAGGATTTTATTTTCTCATACTAGATTTTCACAGATTGTGTAATTCATCTAAGTGGGATTTTAGCATTATTAGTTTGAACCATTAGATTGTTAAAAATTTGTGTCTCCCCAGTTCAGTAGATTCTTGTTTTTGTTCTTGTTTGTTCGTTAAAATTTTATATCATTTTTCTTTCTGTTATTTTATTTGTATCCAAGGATGGAAAAAAACCAAAGCCAGGAGACCTGATTGAGGTTAAATGCGGTGTATATAAGCACTGGATTGTTTACATTGGTGAAGACAACGTCGTTCACTTTGGAGGAATTGGTGAGTCCTCTTTACAAGCATCTTAATATAACCAAAAACTAGCTTGTCTGAAAACAAATGTAAGTAAGTAAAAGCACATGAAAACCACTTTGACCCACAGAGGTGGCATTTTACAAGTGATTCCAGTTTTGTGCTGTGTGGTCTGTTTTTGAAGGATCTGGATCTGGGATAGGCATCATTCCTACTCCAGGCATGAAGGGCACTATAAAGAAGGAAAAGCTAAAGGATGTTGTCAAGGATGGAAAATGGAAAATTAATAACTTTCTGGATCAAAAATACCAACCCCGTAAGGATGACGACATTGTGAAGGAGGCCTGTGCACGTGTGGGTTCCAGTCTGACGTATGATGTCTTGGGCTACAACTGTGAGCACTTTGCCACTGAGCTGCGCTACGGAAAGCCTGAGTGCCGACAGGTGGGTTAAAAAAATCAGGGGTCTCATTCATAAAACTTTCTGTGGAATCCACACTGAACCCCCCATTAAGCTCAGCAAAAAATTTACTTAAGAAGAAGAAACAATATTTTGTATAGCACCTCTCAAGATAAAAATCACAAGGCGCTTCACAAGAACAAAAATGTAAAAAATATAAACAAAAGATTGAAAAAAATTATTACAAAATATCGTAAAAATGAGAAAAAATAAGAAATTGTGATAAAAATAATGTAAGAACAGGGAAAGGGAAAATGAATGAGAGTCAAACAGAGGATCCCAGGAAAGGCAGAATTGGTAGAAAGAGCTGAATAAGGAGAGGGTGATGATGAATGTCACACAAAAGCCAGGCCAAAGACAAAGGACTATTGTGTATGAGAACAGTCTTTTGTCTTTATGTCTAACTGTTTTTATCTTGTTTGTTTTTATCTTATAAAAACAGGGAGGGGGGGCATGTTATCCACCAACGTGTTATACACGGGGCCAATGTGTTATACATATTTTTCATTTTTAACTTAGCTTTTACAATGTTAAACTTTCTGATTTTGGACATGTTTAAAGTAGTTGAAACATTTAAATTCTTACAGTAACAACTGCTTCAAAATTTCAGCTAAATTATCCTGATTTGACACTTCGGCTTATATTGACACTATATTTCTGCTAAAATGTCAGCCGTTTAAACAGCTCAGCTGTCCAGATTTGCATTTTATGCTTTCTGCTGTTTAGGATATTTTTCACCAATTTTCATCTACTTTAAGCTCTGTCTATATGTAATAGTGACATTTTCTGCTCAAATTTAGTATTTTCCATTACATTTAGCTAACTTTGACAGTTGAACTAAATTTCGGCTTCGGTTCAGTTTTTAGGCATCTTCAGCTATAACTGAATTCAGCACTCAAACAGCAATTACTGCAAGAAATGCAGTTCATCTAGTTTATCTTCTTATTCATTCTCATGAAATGAGTGTTTTAATGCAGAATTAATATGTATGTATTTATTCACACTGGGTTACACAGAGCTATAGTATAAGTACACATGCAAACAGATGGCACTGTTTTTTGGTCAATGTTTTTCTAAACTACTCAAACTTAATGAAAGAAAGGCTATTGAGCAACAACTTGGTCACTGTGTAAGAGATCAAGCAATGTTTTACCACAAAGCAGCACACAGCTTCCAGCAGTTTAGATTATACATTACAGAATGAAACTTAAGCGAGATAACAGTATGGTCAGTAATTCCAATGGCTGTATTTGCCAAATAGATTCCTCTGTCAAAACCAGCATTCTTCCTTACTGGCTACTATGGGCAGTAACGTTTAAATGGAGTTATATTGTTTACTTTAGGTTCCTGTTCCTTCACATAGTCACAGAAAAAAAACAGAGAAACTGTATGAACACACTGTGATGCTTGTGTGTGTCAGCTAACATGTTACATGAGCTTCTCAATGTTCACATGCGTTTTACAATCACGTTTTTTATTGATGAATTTTTTTTTTGTTTCTGTCTGATTTCTTCTGCAGGTAAAGGAAGCAAAACTAGACTTCTTCATGATATTGGCAGGAGTTACAGCCGTTGCTGTTGGAATATTTCTGAAAAAATGAAAAAGGTGATCAGATTGGTGATGGTTAAACGTATAGCTAGTGATTACAACTAAATAAATAATCAAACTTGGTTCATGTGATTTTTTTTTTCATTCTTATTATTTAATTGGTTTAGAATATTTACCTTTATGATTGTCACTTTGTTCTGCTGCATCGATTTATTTTCATAGACTATAATAAAGCATTAAGAGTTATGCATGTTAGATATAAATTGTTTCATTAATAATAATGATGATGATGATGTTGATGATTTTGGTTCCAATCTTGATGGGCAGGGAACAGTTTTGTTTTGGTACAGATGTTTCATTTTTGTTTATTTCTTTGCTAAAGAAACTTGGATAACTAGAAATAACCCAAAAATTATAAATAGCTTATGACTTAATCACAAATGCACAAAGTACCTGTACTGAGTGTTGATGTGCACAATCCTCCCCAAATAAACTAATAAACAAAACAACAACAAAACAAGCTAGCTTATTTGTTGTTTTTTTATTTTATTTTTATATTTTTTTATTTTTGGACATGCATGCTGATAATGTATGCAGGGTTTGAACTACAGGGGAGCTAAGGGGAGCCAGGCTTACACAAAAGGCTCTCCTGGAAGCCCTTAACTTACACACTCTGGAGCCCCCAAAAAAGATACTGTGGTTCTACCTACAGGTGCTGGCCAGTAAATTAGAATATCATCAAAAGGTTGAAAATATTTCAGTAATTCCATTCAAAACGTGAAACTTGTACATTATATTCATGTAATGCACACAGACCAATGTATTTCCAATGTTCATTACATTTAAATTTGATATTTATAGGTGACAACCAATGAAAACATCAAATCTGGTATCTCAGAAAATTAGAATATTCTAAAGGCCAATGAAAAAATGTTTGTTTCTCTAATGTTGGCCAACTGAAAAGAATGAACATGAAAAGAATGTGCATGTATAGCACTCAATACTTAGTCGGGGCTCCTTTTGCCTCAATAACTGCAGTAATGCGGCGTGGCATGGACTCGATCAGTCTGTGGCACTGCTCAGGTGTTATGAGAGCCCAGGTTGCTCTGATAGTCGTCTTCAGCTCCTCTGCATTGTTGGGTCTAGCGTATTGCATCCTCCGCTTCACAATACCCCATAGATTTTCTATGGGATTAAGGTCAGGCGAGTTTGCTGGCCAATCAAGGACAGGGATACCATGGTCCTTGAACCAGGTGCTGGTGGTTTTGGCACTGTGTGCAGGTGCCAAGTCCTGTTGAAAGGTGAAGTCTGCATCCCCATAAAGTTGGTCAGCAGCAGGAAGCATGAAGTGCTCTAAAACTTCCTGGTAGACGGCTGCATTGACCCTGGACCTCAGGAAACAGAGTGGGCCAACACCGGCAGATGACATGGCACCCCACACCATCACTGACGGTGGAAACTTTACACTGGACCTCATGCAACGTGGATTCTGTGCTTCTTCGCTCTTCCTCCAGACTCTGGGTCCTTGATTTCCAAAGGAAATGCAGAACTTGCTTTCATCAGAAAACATAACTTTGGACCACTCAGCATCAGTCCAGTCCTTTTTGTCCTTGGCCCAGGCGAGACGCTTCTTGCGCTGTTTCTTGTTCAAGAGTGGCTTGACACACGGAATGCGACACCTGAATCCCATGTCTTTCATGAGTCTCCTCGTGGTGGTTCTTGAAGCGCTGACTCCAGCTGCAGTCCACTCTTTGTGGATCTCCCCCACATTTTTGAATGGGTTTGTCGTCACAATTCTCTGCAGGGTGCGGTTATCCCTAGAGCTTGTACACTTTTTTCTACCACATTTTTTCCGTCCCTTCGCCTGTCTGTTAATGTGCTTGGACACAGAGCTCTGCGAACAGCCAGCTTCTTTAGCAATCACCTTTTGTGTCTTGCCCTCCTTGTGCAAGGTGTCAATGATTGTCTTTTGGACAGCTGTTAAGTCAGAAGTCTTCCCCATGATTGTGGTGCCTTCAAAACAAGACTGAGGGACCTTTTAAAGGCCTTTGCAGGTGTTTTGAGTAAATCAGCTGATTAGAGTGGCAGCAGGTGTCTTCTATATTCAGCCTTTTCAGAATATTCTAATTTTTTGAGATACCAAATTTGGAGTTTTCATTAGTTGTCACTTATGAATATCAAATTTAAATGTAATGAACATTGGAAATACATTGGTCTGTGTGCATTGCATGAATATAATGTACAAGTTTCACGTTTTGAATGGAATTACTGAAATATTTTCAACCTTTTGAAGATATTCTAATTTACTGGCCAGCACCTGTATATTACATTATTATTGGGGACTCTCGAGCTGGATTCATTTGAGTGGAGAGGAAGCAGAGTGCTGATTGTAGATGCCCCCAGAGCCGGATTAAATAAATTGACTACATTAGGCAGGCTGCATTTTTGCCCCCCCCCCCCCCCCCCCCCCCCCATCGATGTTATTTAATGAATTGAAATCTGAAACTTACCAAAGTTACTACTAAAAGTTCATTCACATTTTACATAGCCTAATTTTTGGTTACAAATTGGTTGTTTGTGTGCCAAAATAAGTCATGTGTTGCATGTTAAACATTATATCAGACATTTTTTTGATATTAATAATTTATACATCATTACACAGCTGTATTAAATGCTAATAAATCATCCTCATCGATTGGGTGTGCCATTGTCAAGGCGGTACCAGTAAATAACCACTAGGTGTCATTAAACTCTGTAAACAGAGCAAATATGTGTCTCTTATTTGCTCTGTTTATCTTTAATCACTACATTTACTTAAAAAGATTTTCTGCAAAATACAAAAGCTTACAACATTTATAAATGTTGACAAATTAACCACATGATAGTGGAAAGATGTTCAAGAAGAAATATATGAATTTGAATGGACTGAAGCATGTTTTAAAGGCGCAAAAACAAACTATAAACACGCAGCCTAAATTATTACCATATAAATTTAATACAATCTTTAATCTTAAAAAAAGTATTTCAATAAAATGAAAACATTATCTTTTGATCTTGCTTTATGCTCATTCAGGCTGTTATTGCCTCTGCTGAATCAGAAATTCTGTGTCAATTTTCTGAGTATGAACTTATTGTTTTGCTATTTGAATATTAATAAAAATATTTGAAAAATAATTAATAAAACCAGCAACACTTACCAAGGAAACCATTTAGCATGCTCCACTCCGGGATAATCTTCAGCCTTCCAGCATCACATGCCTCAATCACAGCAGAAACACGTCTAAAGAAATGTTCCTTGGTTAAGCTTCGGTTTATGTCTCCAGATTTCCTCTGTGATGCCGAAGAATATCCAATATTTTGAGAGGGATGGTTTAGTGCAAAGTACTCACGCATCGTGTCATCAGTTTGATACCACTTTGCAGGTTCAGATGGGTAGCTAGTTGCTAACACCCTTTCTGGGTCTAGAGGCTCCCGCTGTAAGACTATATTGGGCTCACTTCAGGCTGGCTGCTGTTCTTCCAGTTTGTCCTGTGAAGGCGTTGATGTTGACGGCGTTGGAGCTACAGCGTCTTCCGTCGCATTTCCCGTCGCATCTTCCACCGCGTCTTTGCGCCGTGTCTCCTCTGGGTCTGGCTTGGGCCCGGCCTCTCGCTCTGCTGACTCGAGCATGTTCACAACTGTCGGACGGCTGCCCGAATAGCCTGACAGAAACTTCTGTAAAGCCCCCCGTTGTCTCTTCTTTTGTTCCTCTTCTTTTTTTCTTTTTTGTTACGTTTTGACAAACCCGAAAGGATCGTGAAAGTTAGCCTACTCATATAGGAGATATGATAGGAGTCCTATCTACAAATTCTATCATAGGACATTAGTACTTTTAATTTTTAATTAATTTATTTTTAATTTTGTTCCTCTGTCTGGGCCCCATCCAGCCAATCAGGCCCTAGGCACGTGCCTACTTTGTCTTTGCATTAATCCGGCTCTGGATGCGCCAAAAACATTCTTATTGTGTTGCCACAGCCAAATAAAAAATTAACACATACTCATTTTTGCCAGCTTAATCCCCTGGTGCTTTCTGTCTTAAACTTGGTTTATGCTTGACGCATGTGCATTCCGCGCAGAAATGAGACGCGCATCGAAACCTGCAGCGTTTATGGTTCTTTCCTACCCTCTGCGGCTTGTATCCATTGTGAGCCAATATTCTCCCAGAATGGAGGGGGCAGGCAGCATGAGGCTCTACGGCATGCATACAACACTGCACCATAGTGGAAGTAGAAATCACAGTTGTTGACAACATTCTTCACTGTTTCCTCATTTTTTTCTGACTTTGACAGCAATTATTAACAATATTTTGATCAGAGTGATTGTTGGGTATTTTTATAAATGTACCTTTTTGAGACCTAAAAGATGCCCATTACACATCATGAATCTCTGTGTTGGCTGTTCATAAAAAGGTTGAGCAAGGATGTTAATTGAGAAAACTCTGTACCTCTGTAACTTGAGAAGGTCCGCCTTCTCCCCCCCCACCCTTTGCTTGAATAAAACCACTGAAGACTCTGAGGACTGGGGGAGTCGCCTGGCACCATAGCTCTGGAGAGAGTTATGTGTCATTTCGGTGATCTCCCCCTAATTTGGCTAATTCAGTGTAAAATGTCTTCCTTGTTGTCATGTGTGTTATTACAGGTTCCAGGGTTATGGAGATTAAATATTACCTAACATTCTAGTCTCCTGATGGAGACCACGGGTATGCAGAGCTGGTGAGGTAAAGGCTGAGGCTGGAGCAGAGTGGGGGCTGGTTGAGCCACACACATGGACATGGGGGCTGGTGGAGTCATGCACATGGACATTACAAATAATCAATTTACTCTCTCTCTCTCTCTCTCTCTATCAAAGGGTGTGTCGTCCTTTAAGGTAATATGGGATAAAATCAAATTACCTATCAGTGATCTTTATTGTCTGAATCATAAAGATGTCTGTACTTACAAACGTCTGCCACAATGAGTGCTTGCCAGTCCGTCACGTTTTTCCGCGCAGGACCGTTCGTGTGGTAAAAAAAATTCCTAGGTGCGAGGCACAGAAACTTTGGGCTGCACGGAGGGGCGTGGTTGCTAAAATGCCGCACGGAGCTGTGCAGACCTCGCGGACGCGTCAAGCATAAACCAAGCTTTATATCAGTGCCCGATGCCCACCCTCTGCTGCGGGGTGCATTAACCTATCTTGTGCTTAGGTGACCTCACCTCAGCACGGCCAGTGCGCACTCCGCTATTTTTGCGGTCGGTAAATCCCTTTGAACTGATTAGTTTAAAATAACTTATGAGGTGAAAATAGGAAGCCAAGCAGCAGTTTTTCTGTCGGACTGAGAGGAGATGGAGGGAGATGAGAGATAGACAGGACAGAAAAATTGTCAAATAAAAAACAAGAAAACAACACAAAGTGTTTTAAAAGGAAAATGTAGGTAGATTTATCCTACTATACGTTTTACCTTTATAAAGGAATAATGTATAAGTATGTAATATTTATATA